TAAGTTACAATGATAAGTAATATAGTTTTTAAGAATATTTTTAGTCACATTTTATTATTTTTATTTGTATTATACTAATGGGGAGGTGCTAAACCCGTAAAGATAATGCAGCCCCAGAGAAAAAAGAGGTAACCCGATCTGCTCTGAGGAAGGGGACGGGTACCCCAAATTTCAGTCTGTAATAATTTTGAGGATGTAAGCAAAGAGGGTGTTACTATTCAATCCAATTCAAAGTTTATTCTTTATAAGGATTACAAAGCTGAGTTTACAGAATTTGGTTATTGTGTGGTTTACATGAAGTAAAATAATAATTACAGAGTGTACCACTAGAACACTAGCATGGCTAGGCATTTCGGGCAGACTTAGATTAAATCTTAAGTTTAAAATATTACAAAATTATGAGGTAAGTTGATATTATGGCTAAGTGACTAAATACTAGTTTGTGAGTTTAGCAATGTGAATGCTTTTGTTTTGGCACTATACATAGTTTCAGTATTGGAGTATCACTTATGACTAGTTAAGATTCATTATTTTAAGATTGAGATTGATATTTCTGTTTAAGGTCAAATGGGTGAGTGAGTGTAAGTGTGAACCACCAGGTGGTATTCGTGTAATTAGTTGACAGGGTGTATCAGGGAGATAAGATGTTTTCTGATGGTAGTTTTGAAGGTGATGGATGTGTCTGCAGTTCTAGAGTTTTCAGGTAGGGTGTTCCAGATTTTAGGGCCTTTGACATACATTGAATTTTTGTAAAGGTTTAGTCGGACACGGGGAATGTCAGAGATGTTTGTCTGGTGTTATGCCTGTGGGTTCTGTCACAACTATCAAGAAAGCGTTTTAGGTCAAGGTTAATATTGGAATTTAAGGTCCTGTAGATGTAGATTGCACAGTAGTAATTGTGGATGTACTGAACAGGGAGTAAGTTTAGATCTATGAAGAGTGGGGGAGGGGTGTTGCCAGGGATGGGATTTAGTGATTATTCTTACTGTGGCTTTTTGTTGGGTTATTATTGGCTTTAGGTGTGTTGCTGCAGTTGAACCCCAAGCACAGATAGCATAGGTGAAGTATGGATATATAAGTGAATGGTATAGTGTGAGAAGGGCAGTTTGCGGCACGTAGTATCGTATCTTGGAGAGGATCCCAACCGTTTTGGATACTTTTTTGGTTCCTAGGTGGGATATTCCAGTTCACCACTAAGACCTTTCACCGCCGGAGTATCAAGACTAGAATCAATAATAATATGGAACCTAAGAATCGATTTTTCTAGTAAAAATAATTAAGTGAAGGACGTATATGACCAGGACGTAAACGAAACGAAACGGGCCAGCACTGCAACAGCCTGGCGCTGAGTAGTCTGGCGCCGAAACAACCTGACGCTGAAATGCCGGCGCCCTCCAACCCTTCCCAGGAAGGATTGGACGGAGAGTGTGAGGTTTTAAGCATTAGGGGCTTGAGCATTCAGCAGACTAGTGTGAGCGAGTTAAGACTGTAGTGGAGACGAGTGGTTTTTAAGGTTTTGATGTGCTGTTGGAGTGTAATCAAGGTCACTTTGGACCTCCATGACTGGAACCCTGGAGATGGAAAATACAGTGTTTGCATTCTGAAGGGAAGGGGAAGTTGCATATCAGAGGGTCACTAGAAGCCTGTTGTTTGCACACGTCTAACAACATAACTATTGAATGAGTAATGGTGAAAGTTTATTTTTTTAGGTCACCGACCCTTGGTGGTAGACTGACGGTGTGAGTAAAAAAAAACATTCATAGCTAAGAGCTTCCAACAATAAATTAACTCAGCTGATCAATTTATTATAAAGGAAGACATACTGTGGTACTGACCAGACACTGACTCCCCCTGCCTGTCGTGCTGACCAGACACTGACTCTCCCTGCCTGTGGTGCTGACCAGACACTGACTCTCCCTGCCTGTGGTGCTGACCAGACACTGACTCTCCCTGCCTGTGGTGCTGACCAGACACTGACTCTCCCTGCCTGTGGTGCTGACCAGACACTGACTCTCCCTGCCTGTGGTGCAGACACTGACTCTCCCTGCCTGTGGTGCAGACACTGACTCTCCCTGCCTGTGGTGCAGACACTGACTCTCCCTGCCTGTGGTGCAGACACTGACTGCCCCTGCCTGTGGTGCAGACACTGACTCCCCCTGCCTGTGGTGCAGACACTGACTCCCCCTGCCTGTGGTGCAGACACTGACTCCCCTGCCTGTGGTGCAGACACTGACTCCCCCTGCCTGTGGTGCAGACACTGACTCCCCCTGCCTGTGGTGCAGACACTGACTCCCCCTGCCTGTGGTGCAGACACTGACTCCCCCTGCCTGTGGTGCAGACACTGACTCCCCCTGCCTGTGGTGCAGACACTGACTCCCCCTGCCTGTGGTGCAGACACTGACTCCCCCTGCCTGTGGTGCAGACACTGACTCCCCCTGCCTGTGGTGCAGACACTGACTCCCCTGCCTGTGGTGCAGACACTGACTCCCCCTGCCTGTGGTGCAGACACTGACTCCCCCTGCCTGTGGTGCAGACACTGACTCCCCCTGCCTGTGGTGCAGACACTGACTCCCCTGCCTGTGGTGCAGACACTGACTCCCCCTGCCTGTGGTGCAGACACTGACTCCCCCTGCCTGTGGTGCAGACACTGACTCCCCCTGCCTGTGGTGCAGACACTGACTCCCCCTGCCTGTGGTGCAGACACTGACTCCCCCTGCCTGTGGTGCAGACACTGACTCCCCCTGCCTGTGGTGCAGACACTGACTCCCCCTGCCTGTGGTGCAGACACTGACTCCCCTGCCTGTGGTGCAGACACTGACTCCCCCTGCCTGTGGTGCAGACACTGACTCCCCCTGCCTGTGGTGCAGACACTGACTCCCCCTGCCTGTGGTGCAGACACTGACTCCCCCTGCCTGTGGTGCAGACACTGACTCCCCCTGCCTGTGGTGCAGACACTGACTCCCCCTGCCTGTGGTGCAGACACTGACTCCCCCTGCCTGTGGTGCAGACACTGACTCCCCCTGCCTGTGGTGCAGACACTGACTCCCCCTGCCTGTGGTGCAGACACTGACTCCCCCTGCCTGTGGTGCAGACACTGACTCCCCCTGCCTGTGGTGCAGACACTGACTCCCCCTGCCTGTGGTGCAGACACTGACTCCCCCTGCCTGTGGTGCAGACACTGACTCCCCCTGCCTGTGGTGCAGACACTGACTCCCCCTGCCTGTGGTGCAGACACTGACTCCCCCTGCCTGTGGTGCAGACACTGACTCCCCCTGCCTGTGGTGCAGACACTGACTCCCCCTGCCTGTGGTGCAGACACTGACTCCCCCTGCCTGTGGTGCAGACACTGACTCCCCCTGCCTGTGGTGCAGACACTGACTCCCCCTGCCTGTGGTGCAGACACTGACTCCCCTGCCTGTGGTGCAGACACTGACTCCCCCTGCCTGTGGTGCAGACACTGACTCCCCTGCCTGTGGTGCAGACACTGACTCTCCCTGCCTGTGGTGCAGACACTGACTCTCCCTGCCTGTGGTGCAGACACTGACTCTCCCTGCCTGTGGTGCAGACACTGACTCTCCCTGCCTGTGGTGCAGACACTGACTCTCCCTGCCTGTGGTGCAGACACTGACTCTCCCTGCCTGTGGTGCAGACACTGACTCTCCCTGCCTGTGGTGCAGACACTGACTCTCCCTGCCTGTGGTGCAGACACTGACTCTCCCTGCCTGTGGTGCAGACACTGACTCTCCCTGCCTGTGGTGCAGACACTGACTCCCCCTGCCTGTGGTGCAGACACTGACTCCCCCTGCCTGTGGTGCAGACACTGACTCCCCCTGCCTGTGGTGCAGACACTGACTCCCCCTGCCTGTGGTGCAGACACTGACTCCCCTGCCTGTGGTGCAGACACTGACTCCCCCTGCCTGTGGTGCAGACACTGACTCCCCCTGCCTGTGGTGCAGACACTGACTCCCCCTGCCTGTGGTGCAGACACTGACTCCCCCTGCCTGTGGTGCAGACACTGACTCCCCCTGCCTGTGGTGCAGACACTGACTCCCCTGCCTGTGGTGCAGACACTGACTCCCCCTGCCTGTGGTGCAGACACTGACTCCCCCTGCCTGTGGTGCAGACACTGACTCCCCTGCCTGTGGTGCAGACACTGACTCCCCTGCCTGTGGTGCAGACACTGACTCTCCCTGCCTGTGGTGCAGACACTGACTCCCCCTGCCTGTGGTGCAGACACTGACTCTCCCTGCCTGTGGTGCAGACACTGACTCCCCCTGCCTGTGGTGCAGACACTGACTCTCCCTGCCTGTGGTGCAGACACTGACTCTCCCTGCCTGTGGTGCAGACACTGACTCCCCCTGCCTGTGGTGCAGACACTGACTCCCCTGCCTGTGGTGCAGACACTGACTCCCCCTGCCTGTGGTGCAGACACTGACTCCCCCTGCCTGTGGTGCAGACACTGACTCCCCCTGCCTGTGGTGCAGACACTGACTCTCCCTGCCTGTGGTGCAGACACTGACTCCCCCTGCCTGTGGTGCAGACACTGACTCTCCCTGCCTGTGGTGCAGACAGCTTCACAAGACACTTCATCACTGCTGGTGTTGCAAGTATTGTGTTCTTGATTTAGGAGTGGTGCCGATGTGTGTAAATTTAGGCTGATATTGAATTACATTTTTTAGTAAAGATATATGTTGTATAGACACTAATCAGTATTTATGTTCCGTGTATCACTGAACATAAATGCCAAAAGCGAATTTATAATCATATACAAAACCTTAACATAATTTATTATCTTGGAGTTTATATACTTTAACAGCGAAAGTTGTGATCAATTTTGCTGGCTTTGCAATTGACCTTGTATAATTGTCTTCTCGGTATTTATTAACAACACGATTGAGTAGTTTTAAGCTGTTAAGTGAAGATTAAGTGAACATTAGTAATGTTTTGCTTCAGTTAAGTTACATTTGCCTTATTAAAGTTGTGCCGTGTTGGTGTAACAGGAGGATGTAGTGAGCCTGGAGCTGGTAAGTGGTCGACCGCGGGTACTGGTTGACCTGGGCACCAGTCCCATCCTGCTGGACCCGACACATGCCAGCCTTGTGCCCTCCCTCGCTGACGGACGCTGGCACCGCCTTGATCTCATAGTGGCACTACAGGTGTGCTGAGTACACTGAATCAGCAGTTGTACTCCTAGTTTTGTAACTGTCTTCTCCCACTGCTGTAGCCATTAACTTCGGACTATATTCTGCTTTATTTTTGACTAATACATCCATTTGACTATGTGCAATATTTCACCTATTTGATAATTGCTTGCATTTATTTAATGAAATTTATTTTAGGAATAGCTGAATATGACTGACAAAGCAACTATTTCAGCTATTGTAAATATTTTATATTTAATATTTCACGGACAGAAAGTGGAGGTGATAGTAGATCGGTGTCAAGAGGGCGGGGAGTGTCGCCTGGCGGCTCCCCTGCCTCCCCAGGATCAGGCACTCAGTGTGGCTGCTCCTCTACAGGTCGGGGGTCTGGCCCACGCCCTCCCTCACCACCACCATCACCATGGCTGGCCTACACAGCTCTCGCAACAACACTTCCATGGCTGCATCCGTAACCTCAGAGTTAACGGAGAGGTAAATACCATTTTGTGTTAGTAAACCCGTGTGGGTCATTCAGCTCAATTAGTAGTGAAGGCTCGATCCTCCGAAAGAGCAAAAGCTGTGTTTTCTTAATATTGGCCACGCCTTCAACAACAGCATCATTTGATTGTATCCAGATTCTAAGATTTAATGGAGAGATAAACATTGTTTTCCCCTTATTTTACCCCAGCTCGTAGCCACAGTACTCTCGTAGAAATACTTACATGACGGTATCTATGACCTCAGTTACCAGGAAAGTCAACAATGTATTCCTCATGGAAGGATGTAGAAGGATGCTTTGTAATTTCCTCGGAGGGAAACTGGCCTGACGCGGCTGTCATACGATGCCCCATGTTGTAGTTCTTCCAAACAGTCGCTGAGGATACAGAAGTGCAGTCATCGTCAATGGCAGTATGACTGATTCTAGCTCTGTGGGTGGTTTGCACCCCGATATTGGGGGGTGCCAATGGCAATCCCTAATATCGAGGTGCCGTTGGTGCTATGACCATCAGGCTTCTCTTTAAATGATGCATTTTTTTTCTTCGGTAACAATAACGTCTCTTCTGAATACTTAAATCTTCAATGGCTGATGAATATTAAAAGAATGAAACTTTATTATTGGCATCTGTGTGATAACTGGAGAATGACTCTTCTGATTAGCATGAAAATTTTAGCACTGGCTAATTTGCTTGAAGATAGATTTGAATTGTTATTGAGGTGTGAAAGTCCAAATTTGCCAGTTGTGTATTAAAGAAAAAACTGTGAATGATTTTTCCTTCAATGCTTTGATTGTCTTCAAGTTTTCAACACTGAAGTGCCTTGCTTAATGGAAGGTTCAAATTAGTTTTGGACTGTAGGTTCCTATTTGCTAATTTTAATAAAAATTACAATGCTTCTGTTTTTCAGTATCACTTACAGGAAGGCTTAAATTTTTAATGGAAATTGTTGGCTCCAATTCACAAATGTTTTTATTATATTTTTGGCGACTCAATTTTTTTTTAATTTTGGAATTCGAAGAAATTGGGCTATCAGCTGAACTGAGACTTTTGTAATTACAGCTTGATACTACACCTTATCATTTTTCTTATTGGATTCTCTTCCGCCGCCTAGGAAATATTAATTTTTGTTTATAACCTACAACAAATTGCAAAATAAGCTTTAGTTTAAAAAATCATTATTAGTTTTACAATGTTATGATCAGGTTTGTATCCTGGAATAGGAGAATAGCGTGTTTTAGTTTCACTGGGATCAATGTAGTTTTTCCGTGATATAACCTGGAGTGCAACACTGCTGGACCCAGTGTACACATAACACTGCTGGAACCAGTGTCACATACAACACTGCTGGACCCAGTGTCACACACAACACTGCTGGACCCAGTGTCACTTACAACACTGCTGGACCCAGTGTCACACACAACACTGCTGGACCCAGTGTCACACACAACACTGCTGGACCCAGTGTCACACACAACACTGCTGGACCCAGTGTCACACACAACACTGCTGGACCCAGTGTCACACACAACACTGCTGGGCCCAGTGTCACTTACAACACCCAAATCTACAAGTCTTTAAACTCTGTAGATAAATGGTTCAGAGAAGCAACAATTTGATAAATTAGACACATGTGCAACACTTGGACATCTTGATTGTGGAAACGTTTCGCCACACAGTGGCTTCATCAGTCCAATACAGAGAAGAATGGTTGTAGATCAGGAGGAGTTTAAGATAATCAGTCCCTCAACCCAGAGTCGATGTAATCAGTTCATCATTCTTGATGGACTGATTACATCGACTCCGCTGATGGACTGATTACTTCAAACTCCTTCTGATCTTCAACCATTCTTCTCTGTATTAGACTGAGGAACTTCATTAGCTTAACATAAATATTTTTGAAATATTTTAAATTTAGCTGACGATTTATTAAATTTAATGTTTTGTTCTGTATCACTGAATGTGCTCTTCAACAGTCAACCACCAGTAGATATTATAAACCACCACTGTTTACACTGTGAACCTTTATATAAAGACAATGTTATCTTTAAATAAAGGTTAACTTTACAATTAGTGTGTCCTTTTACCGCAATAATAATACTAGTATCTTTATTTCTACAATTATATGTACAAAGTATACAGGCCTAGCTGACATCACTAACATACTACTACTGTATAGAAAGCCGCTTGTTATGCAGAGCATTTCAGGCAAATTAGGTCAGTTTTGTCCCAGGATGCGACCCACACCAGTCGACTAACACCCAAGTACCCATTTTACTGTAGGGAAACATAGACAACCGGTGTAAGAAAATACGCCGAATGTTTCTACCCTCGCCGGGAATAGAATCCGTGTTTGTTGTCAGTCCCGCCATTCAAATGTCTTTGTGGATTAATGTCATGAATAACAGAAAAGTTCTTTACTAATGCATAGTTATTCCCTTGTAAGCGACAGTTTAGTCATTTCCGGTATCGATTAACACTTAAAATGCTGCTCAAAGTACCTCCCATTCAACATCAGGCAAGAAATATTGAGTGTTATATAAAGTAATTTGTGTAAAAGTCCATTAATTATAGATGCAGTCTACTTAACTGTAGATCCTTGCGCAAGTGTAATGTTTATTTAGCTAACGTTGAGGAGACGTACCTTGATGACGGTGTTATAATGATTATGTAATTTAGCGAACACTGAAATTTATACGATTCTGTTTACCTCTCTTATATAATTATCTGCTGTTTCATGACTCACGAAATCAGATGATTCAATATCACTTTCTTCAGTGTTGATGACTCAGAGTGAATAAACTAATATATTAGAAGGGATTCAGGTCAGCCAGAGAGTTGTGGAGTTGTGACGTACAGTGGGTGGGGATGTTGTGGTACAGAGGGTAATTTAAATAGTCATGTGCACACACCTCTGGCAAGACCACTGTTAAACGAGTGGTATTGAATGTGCTGCTTTGTGTCATCTTACCTTTGTGGGAAATAGGCGATATAGCAGAAAATTTGCTTAGTTAATCTTAAGTTAATTTTAAGCCAGCCCGTAATGCTATGCATAGTATAAGTGGCTTTGGCATGCTGCTCTTATCTATTTTTTTGTACCTCTGTATGTGTGCTCAAATTGTTAATAAATAAATAAAATAAATAAATAAATAAATAAGTCAGTTCAGCAGAAGATTTTCACTGGATGTCAGCAGGCGATGTTGTATTAATTGCATTTTCACACATGTTGAGGTCCCACATGATACAACTGTTCTTAAGAGCTCACTGAAGCTCTTGTATAATCACTATTTGCCATTTCAGTCGATTACTCCAGTATAATGCAGCAAAGTATAGTCATAAATTAATTGACTACAGCTTCACTCTAATAATTTGGATGCAGATAATGTGCACATTAATCAGCCTTCATATTTAATGGTAATAACATGTCGTTTTGATAACCAACTTCAGTGTCGGCAAGTATCATCAGCTATGTATATAGTATATTCACATTAAAATATTACTACTCTAAGCTGCTCAATGGATTGTAATGTATATTAAATTTAGCCCATCGATAATACTTTAATCATACTTGGGGCTATAATAAATTATATGTGCAGGAGTTTCCACGCTGTAGTTAGCAGTTCAAGACTCTGCAAATAAGATTGTCTGCAGCAAGTTTAACAAGATTTACTCTTTAATAGTTACTTGGGTTTTAATTCAGATTCATTTATTTCTTTGCAAGTAGTACATTAAGATTATATTTTTACAATGATGGGTTGCAGTGCAAATAGAGCCTCTGTTATGCCTTGGCATTATGGGCTGACTTAATTCAATGTCTTACTGACTACTTATCACTAAAGAAATTATCATAGTTGTACAGTGGTTCTATTAATAATAACTGAATCTAATTTACACAAACAAAAGGATATATTCATGTATTCAAAAATGCTTTTTATGACACATGATTCAGTAGCAGTTTTCAGTAGTTTACAGTATGAGATTGTTACAATTGGGTGAAGGGTAATATTGGTTTTGGTAGGTATGTATACTTCTATGTGGTAATTAGCCAATATATGAGCTGGGTTGTCTGGTCATGAGGATTTAAGATTTAGGTGACTGGTAGATTTATTGGTAGTGTTAGATATTGCGTTTTAAGTATTTAGTCTAGGGTGATTAGGTGGCTTTTGAGAAGTCTTAAATTTATTTTCAGATCGAGTTACTTTGGTATTTTCTGGTAATGAATTCCAAATTTTGGGGCCCATTATGTGCATAGTTTTTACAAAGTGTGATATGGACACGGGGTACATCAAAAAGAGATCTGTCTTGTGTTATGGTCGTGTATCCTGTTAAGATTGGTGAGGAAAAGTTTGAGTGGAGGGTTTATGTTTGCGTGTATTGTTCTATGTATGTAGTAGGCACATGAATAAGTATGGATGATGTTAATAGTGAGCAGATTTAGACTTGAATATTGGAGGAGTATGCTGTCGGGAGTGGAAATTTATTCTGACTGCTGTCTTTTGCTGGGTTATTAGTGGTCTTAGGTGATTTAATGTTGTTGATCCCCATGCACAAATTCCATATGTGAGACAAGGGTACGTGAGTGAATGATACAGTGCAAGGAAAGCCGATTGTGGAACATAGTATCGTATCTGATTTATTTGACTATAACAACTTATTGCTAATACTTAGTTCACTTGTCTATATTTTGTATATTCATCAGTTCACAGAACAGATTAGTATAGTTATGTATGCTAGATGTAGAGGCTGACTGTACACACTTGTAGTTGTGGCACAAACCAGGTAATCAACTTTGACTACTTCGTTACTTACATCAATCACTATTCTTATAGCAAATCAGTTACTGTCAGGTATGGCTAAACTTACTGATGAATATTCTTAATTGATCCAGTTTCAGGTTGCTGTGCAATCGTAGAAATACTCAAGTGTTATAATTTCATATATAACTCTGATTAATTAAAAACTTTGTCTGCTACTGAGGTAATTATATATTCCCTTTAACTCTAAGTATACTGGTTCTAAAACAAAACTTAAGTTTAGCTCAGTTTTTCCAAGCATTGTTTTTAAAAGACCAAATGTTAATAATTGTTGGCAGCTCGTCAGCGATATTCTAAATACGTGAACATTTTTATTTGATATTTGATATATATTTTTTCAGCTATCGTTTATTGAAATCAAGAAAGTTACAGAGTTGACGTGTGTGCATGCTACCAGTGTTGCCAGCTCGTCAGTAATGCTCAGAATACATGAAAAAACAATTAGTTTTTATGTAATTACAAATCCTTACATAGTGGGTTAATTTTGATTTCAGATTCGAAATCAGCATACTCGATTGAATCTAAAAATCTTTTCTTGACATTAGTTTATCTGTCATCGTTTATTAAAATCGGTACTAATATATATTTGTTCAGCTTGGGATTAATGATAATCCAGTTCCTCTCGCAACATTTATTTCCAAATTTTGGACTCGAGATAGTTGATGTACAGCTTCTAACCCTGATAAACATGTGCTTAGCTGTGGCTCAGGAATTTTATTCCGCTTTCAGGGCCTGAGATACTGACCTGAAACTTCATGTTCTTTGGCATCTTCTGGGTCTTGAAGCTCCAAACAATTTTGCATGCTAAAAGAGTGTATATTTTAAACAATATTCAGTTATAAATATAAAGAATGCTTCGTTCAACATTTTGTCTAAGCAAGTATTCGATTGTATTCCCATCCGGTGTGTCTGCCCATAGGTTTGGGAAAAGGAATAAAAGGTACAAGGTACCCCACACCAAGGGGTGGGGGGATTCCTTGCCTTGGTGAAGCTCCTCTTGATCCGAAGAACTGGACCTCTTGTCTCCTTCCTTGGATCGAATCTAAATACCCCCCGCCCCTCCCTCCCTCTCTCCATTCTGCCTCGCTGGGGAAATTTTTCCCTTGTGAATTTCAGCTCGTAGGCAAAAGAGAAAGGATTTATGAGCCCCAGTCCATCGTGGACCTTGGTTGTGGTGCTGTCCTGAAGTAGGAATTGTGTTATGTGGCGAAGTACTGGACAGCTTTCCGGAAGGCGGTCTCCCGTGGCCTGGAATAATGGAAGGCTGGAGGCTGCCTTTTGCATCCAGGGATGCTAACATACCAGGTAGGGTTGGAGGCGGTTTACGTGCATCGTCAGCACTGCCAGCCGCACCAAGGGTGATCGTGGGTCAAAGAAGGAACATACTGTTTCTTTTTGTTTATTCTAGGAGCTGCTCATTTTTTTCATCCTTTTGCTACCAAAAGATAAAAAAAAAATTCATAGAGTAATATTTATGGTTTGCCTCTTCCAGGCCCCTGATCCCTGCGGCACCCTTTCCTGATTAGCACGTCCATGGTCCTTCCTCCAAACCCAGTGTTGTTTTCGGGCATCACCTCGTTGCCTGCCACCGGTACTGGCGTTCACCTTGATTCATTTGATACCTCTGACTATGCTCCTGGCTTTTACCATGATACTGCCTCGTTTTCCAGATTGTTTGTGTGTCACAAAGCTGACTGGCTCGAAGCCATCGTGCGAACGACCTCGACACATACAGGCCAATCTTGACGCCTCTTTTCATGCCTATCTAAAGAAACAAGCTACTTAAAACCTCCTTTTTCATACACCTACTGAGCCCCACCCGTT